GTGAGTGCTGGTCACTGTATCGGCCCTGCAGCCTGTCTGTCTGTCTGTGTGAGTACTGGTCACTGTATCTGCCAGCCAGTGCACTCCCCTGCACTCTAGTTCATTAAGCTCCGTTTCATTTCTTTAAACCTTTTAGGTATAGTGATAAAAATATAATTTCCGGTGCTATTAGTACCACTGTACTACTGCTGTGGCCTCAGATGCTGCTTATAGTACAGCTGTAACTGCCTGTTCAGGCCTCTGTGTCACAGAGTGTAATGATGTTAACGCGCCATCCTCCCTAGGATCTGGCACCATCAAAGAGAATTTTGTAGCTTGAAAGTGTTATTTTAAGTAGTGGATTTGGAGCATTTAAAAGGCTTGTTTGCTCCTGTGGATATCAGAAAAGCACATCAACTTTTGGAGGAGGGTGCTCACCCCTCTTCTAGATTGATACCCCAGTTTGTACCACCTAGACCTTCAGCCTCCGTATAGGGAAACAGTTGCTAGTTGTAATTGTGTGCAGAGGGCCCTGCTCTTCTGCTCCTAGTCTCCCTGCTTCACGGTGGCGCTGTCTGTGCTGGGCAGGTCGCAGTCAGTGCCGGGGCAGACACCTACATCCCCGGATTGGCCATCATGTGCGGAGCCACGACCTCCCTCATCTTCCTCGGTGTGCATTTCTTCATCACCAGGATCCAGGTGGACGACCCCCTGCAGGTCATCCCAGGTCAGAGTCCCTCTCTCCATCCAGGGTGCAGTTTTCAGGCTGTGCTTCTTTCTCTCTGTCTCCTGTCCGGGGGATCTAGGCCGTGGTGAGAGTGCCTATGTGTGAGTGTAAGCATGTAGGCCTTCTATGCTGCTCCCTCTGCAGTTAATAGCCATGAATTGAAAGCACATTGACGCTGCTCTTAACTGCAACAGCCTTGTCATTGAAGCCTCACAAGCCTGTCTGTCCAGTCAACAACCAGCTCCAGCCAGCTCTGTGTGTGTACTGCACCCCCTGTGTTCTCTCTCGGTCTCTCTGTCTTTGCTCTGTGTCCCTCTGCCTCCCCGGACCATGCCAGCGAAGCTTGTGCAGAGGTCGAAGTGGTGTGTCATTCTGTGGATTGTGACAGTTAAACTACAAGGTTAAATACAAAAACACATTTACATTGGAAAATAGCAAAACAATTTCTTTTCCCAGGTCAAAGTCATCTCTGTATCATTGTCACCTCCTTTCAGGATCCACTATGCACTAATATGTCCTTGCAGGGCTGTTCCCTGGTCATCCTGTCTCTTCTCTCTTTCCTTCTCATTCCTCCTCTCCCTCTGTTCCAGTTTACCTGACCAGTGGAGCCTGGGGCCTCCTGTACGCAGGCCTGTTCTCAGACCAGGGCGTTCTGGGTGGCAGAGGACAGGTACAGGCACTGGAAAGAATGTGATTTAAAGGCTTTTACTGTGCAGAATACAGGAGCTCTATGGTCCTGAAGTCATAGCATCATCAGCCTGCCACGGTTACCACAGAGCTGAAATAACTGGTGTGAGTTAGCTGTGGTGAAGTGCTGTAAATATACTGCGAGTTCTTGAATTACTGTAGGAGCTAGAAATACGAATTGTCACTACACTGTGATGTACCCATGTGTTTAAAACTTCTATTTTTCCCCACAGCAAGGGATTCGCAACAATGGCGTCGCCATGCTGGTGCTGTTCCTGTGGGCGGTGGCCATCATGCACCCCCTGTTCTGCGTCTTTAAGTTCTTCAGGGTGCTGCGGGTGCCTCGCTTCATGGAGAAGCACGGTAAGACGCGGAGCCAGCACCTGCGCTGGGCGGCGCAGCTCGGCTCCCGCTGGCCGAGCTCGACGAAGCCCGGCAGCTGCTGGTCCTGGCCGGGCGCCCAGCCGGTCGTCGAGAGCAGCTGGGGCTCTCTTGGTGCGTGGATAACACGCCCAGGGACCCCCGCGCCAGGATGTTTCCGAGAAGAACAGGGGTCCGGCAGATGCAGGCATGCAGAAATCAGTGATGTTGGGTCATCGTTTTTAACCTGGGTAGTTCACAGAGATGGAGAGAAACCTGCTGCCTCAGGCAGTACTCCTGGGCAGAATGTCCAAGTGGGATGAAGCCCGACATATTTTACTACTGGTAGCTGTTGGAGTCCCTCTCCTTATTTTCATCTCTTACTGTGTCTCGGCAAGAGCACTGGGCTTTGTCCCATGTTGTCAAAGATTGTCCAAACCCCAAGGACTGTCTGCAGGTTTTCCTGAAAAGTAAAGTAACTTCCTTTAATCTTGCCTGAGCTTCTTAGAAAGCTTCTAAGCTTTACAAAAATAAAAACATGTAAGTGCAATGAGGTTATTAAAGTTTGTGTCAAGATTTTCTAGTTATTCTGACACTCAGTTTAAACTTGGAGTCGGATTTTCGAATTTGGAGATTTCTAGTTCAGGGGCTCAGAAATTCAGAGGCATATTAATGAGACTTGATGTGGCAATGTTATGTACTGTGCACTCAATATCGAAGTGGTGATCTGTGTCATTAACAGTTGTGATGGAAAAGACTGAACATGGTGGAGTTGCAAGTCTAAGGTGTCATTTTGACTTGCTTGTTCTGGGGGACACTAGCGTTTGTTTTTAGTTTCTTTAGAATTCTGAATTAATGCCTGTAGATGGATCTCTGTGGTCATCAGAAATGTATTGCTTCCCTCTTCTAGTTCTCCTGTGACTTGTGTTTTAGTTTTAAAGGCTGTTGAAGAAGTTATCTGCATTTTCTATCAGCCTGATACAGGCAGTGTCCACAAAAACACTTTGGAGTATGTGAGTGGGATCAGAAAAAATATATACTCCACTGTGCCACACTTCAGCTATTTCTGTCTGTTTAGACAATAGAAACTATTGCGAATAATAGAGGAACCTGAAAATTACACATCGTCAACGCTTCTTTTGAAATCTCTCTCTTCATGTTTCTGCTGAAGTACATTTCTTCATGTTAAATGTGGACAATGTTTGTTGTGGGTTAGAAAATGCTAGAGTGCCAAGCAGAGAGTTTTATGAAAACGTAGACTGCCACTTCCCCCTACTACTAGATCAGGGCTTTTATGTATATACAGAGGCTTGCATTTTGCCTTAACTGTGAATATCACACTTAATGTGAGTTGTGCTTAGTTTAGAAAATTCTTAATATGGCTAATGTACTAAAGTGCTGAGTAATTACAAATACATAGACTACCACTTCTCCAATAAGATACAGTAATACAAAACCACTAATGTACCTCAGTTAATTGAACCACATCAAGGCACTATGTCTGACTTATGCTCAATAAGGCTTACCATCATTAATGTCCATTTTATAGTGCTGAAGCCACAATTAATACAGTGAAAGTGTGAGTTCTGGTATTGGGAAAGTAGTTGTTTCGCACCTGGAGCCTGCCAGGCAAGCCAAGGTAAGCATTTTCGACAGCAGTGGCTCTGGACGTCCCAGATTCTTCTCTATTCATATTTGATGTGCTGTTGGCTGCCATCCGCGCCCTGCAGCCTGTGAAACGCCGTGTGATAACGTGGTGCCCTCGCACGTTGGACAGTATTCAAGAGGCCCAGTTGCCTTGCATGAGAGTGGCAAGGTTTGGGCTCGGCTTGGCCCAGCCCGGCTCAGGCTGGTTTGGCTCAGGTGCACGGCTTGGGGAAAAGCTGGTGAAAGCTGGAGTGCAGTGGGTCTCTGTGGTGTCCCGAGGCAGTGACCTCCCTCTCCCCCTCTACTGCATGAGCATGAAACTTTACCTTAATGCTGAGGTTTAAAAAGCTGCTCTTCAACTGCAGTCCAGGAGAGCTACACTCTCTTCTTCTTCCCTGTCGACCCAGCTGCTTTTTCACTGTGCTGAGCCAGGCAATGGAGACTACAAGGGTGTGTCTCTGGAGGAGCAGAAGGAAGCACGCTGCCTCCCATTAGAGCTCAGGTCTTTTTCTTTCCAGGGATCGATAAGTACAGGCATGAACTGAGACACCCCCACGGCACCAGGAAGTGGCTCAACTAGGACTGACCCTCGGGGCAGAGTGAGAGCAGGCCAGGACAGGCCCCGCAGAAGGAACAGCCCACCTCCCACGCTGTCAGCACACAGCCTCTCCCCTTTGTTTCCACCAGGAGCCAGCCCAGGGCAGTCAGGGCTGGTGCGGTGTCTGTACATCTCAGAAACCTGGCAGCTGTATACCCCAGACCAGTGCCGGCTGGTAACGTACTGGCAGGGAGTTTCCAACACCCCCTGCAGACATATCTCCATTTCCCAGAATGTTCCAAAAACAAACTGAAGCAATAGGCAAGTAATCTTATCTTACCATTTGCATTTCATTTCCTCTGCGGGTTATTCCTAGTATTTTAGCGGTATCTGGTGGGTTAAGGTGCTGGAGGGGGTATCCTTTCAGTGACCCCATTGTCGAAAACCATTAGCTACTGACGCAGAGAGCGCATTTTGTAGTATGCTTTCTAAAGACTTTTCTCTCTCTTCCAAGTTCATTTTTGCTCAGGGCTTTATTTCAACAATTCTTGCTGATTTACTATAGATCCTCTTTTTTATTAAAAATGTCTGTGAAGAGTTCAAAGTAGCAGTGTCCTGGAGTGGAGAATGGCTTTGGAAGGGTTTTGTTGGTCCTGAGGGAAAACAAGGGCAATTTTCAGTGTATTTTTTCCACTTTTTCCTTGACCCTTTCAAGTTAGTTCCCTTGTCTATATGAATGAGTTCTGGGGTGTTTTTGACTTCATTGTGTTGCGAGTCGAGTTGCTAATGAAAAGCACAACTGGTATTTACGAAACGGTTCTTAATGAAATTGTGGTTTTATTTTCTGTACACAAATAAAAATCAGCCCTGCTGCCTGCAGAGAATGGAATGCCTGAATTTCTGTGACACAGTAACCCCTAGATTCCGGGCATGCAGTTTCAGACATATTGTGTTAACACAACTGATAAATGTGGGACACATTTCGATTAATGAAGTCTAATTTCCACATTAACTCAGATTCACAGATTCAACACAAAAGTCACATCGTCCGTCCACGACGGATACAAGCACCGTGGCCAGGGTTCAGTTCCGCAGCACACTCCCATCTCCACTGAAGCAACACTGCCACAGCCCGGGCATCCTCGAAGACCCGGGTCTCCCAACCGTGGAGCGCAGCGCACCAGGACAGCGTCCTGCCGCCCAAGGTGCTGTGCCAAGCCAAGAGGAAGCAGGGGACAGAGTATGTCTCGGTTTTCCTCAAAGACACCGACACACTCGACACAGCGGACTTCAGAATCAACAGAGAAACACAAACCAGAGGAAACTAGTAGGAGGAGTATTTCAAACTGAGAACAGGGGGAATGTTTACACAACAGGATAAGGAAGTGTGAAACAAACTAACCAGCTCCTTTCAAGAAAGGGCTGCATGAGATCCCCTGATCAGTGAACTACTGACAGCCAGATGGGCCGAATGGCCCCCTCTGCTCTGGTCTGTGACCTTTCTGAAGTTGCATTTCTCGCTGTCTTTGTTTCTCTTGCATCAGACTTGCATTCAGCAGCTTTTGATGTGGGAAACGAAAAAAAAAAACCTGAAACGTAAACTGTTTCAGAGCGAGGAAGTGCCGTGTTAATTTTAGATCGCAAAGGGGAACTGGGGAGCGAGCTTTTTAACACTCAAATGATTCACGATCTGGACTGGAGAAGGCGGCAGCGCTGTGTGAACACAGCTGGGGGTGTTTGAGAGCATAAATGAGAACAGCCCCAGTTTCCACGGGCTGTTGCCGGCGGCGCAGGGCAGCAGGTAGAGGAGTCTTGTCCCTGCGTGGCTGCCGTAATGGCTTTCCTTTGTGCGAGCAGCGGGACCGTGCTCACTCCTGTGAGGCACATTCAGCCACGCGTTGGACAAAATTGAAGTGGCACACAGGATGCTTCTCATCAAGGCCTGGAGGATTGTGTTGCACAAAGGCAGTGAGGAGATTGGTGCCTGCACTGCTATGAGGAAAAATCCCTTTCAATATCAGTCTCCAGGAAGCCCCACGTGGATGATAACGGCGCAGATGCCATTATGCCAAGGCCATTTCTCAAGAAATCATATTCATTCTCCCCTGCCGGCCTGGTCTTTTTCTGTTTAATTCATGGGGACATTTTCTACTGGATAAAGGTTTGCATGCAGCCCGTTCTGAGTGCAGACGCTCTCAGAGAAAGAAAAGAAACTGATGAAAGTGTGAGGTCATGGCACAGATGAAGTACAGAGCCTGAGGTCAGGTACAGCCGCCCCCCTCTGTCCTGTTAAGAGATCAAAATTCTGGCCTTTCCCAGTCTGTCCTGTTGAAGCACTTAAGAACTGCTAGGTCTTTAATGTGTTATGTTATGTTATGTTATGTGCTAAGCGAAATATTCACACTACAGTAGCCTGGAGGTGTCTGTTCTTGGAAAGGGAAGCAAGACGGGCATGTCTGACAGCCTGTTCTCTGAAAGCAGCACCAGATGCAGGAGCTGGGCTTGTCAGGTGAAGAGCTGCAGGGCAGTTTCACCGCAGCCACAGTCTACTGTCTGTCTGTTCATTCATACACCTCCATTAGAGGCGGCAGATTGCTCCTGGGTTTTCCACTAGATGGTGTTGTCAGCACTGTAACTGAAGCTGCCAGCACACACATCCCGGCACTGTAGGACTGGGAAATGAATGAGGATGAAAGTTCACACAACGCAGTCTTGATTTAATCTTTATTCTCCTCTTCCAGGCAGGTATGAGCTACAGTAGGTGAACTATCACTCCAAGCGGTGGGGGGCATCTCAGTGGTGTTCTGGTTTCAAACAATGGGCAAATAAATTCTTATTGTGCCCAAACTGTAAAGTAACCCAAACTGAGCAATACACACACACACACTCTACCTCTACCCCCAATACATCCACACACACCCTCCTACCCCAATGCTCACACACACCTTACTATTACCCAACTCCCCAGCAAACCAAATAACTTAATACACATACCCTAACCCTAATACACACTCCCCTAACCCAGCCCTCTAACGCACACAAAAACTTCAACACACTTTTTCACAGCCCTCACACCACCATAAATCCTTATGCAACCCTTAACACACACCACCTTACAAATACGTCTCATATGTGCAACACTCTTACTCTCACTCGCTGGCCGCGATCCCTGCGATCTGAGAGTGGAGCTGGCCCGCGAGGCGCGGCTGGTCTCTCCTCATCAAGCAGCCCATCCATCTTCGCTCCGGGTGACACACGTGGCTCTCCGGCACAGCGTGCTCATCAGCTACACTCTGGCTGCCCGCTCGCTGGCGCCTCCCAGGGGCCTGGTTCTGAGTGTGTATGTCTCTTCCCATCTCCTTCCACTTCACTTGTTCAGGAGTGACTGCAGCGTTCAGGGTGGAAAGCCCTGCCAATGTCCAATCGCCTCAGCAATTGATCAATTAACTAATCGGGTGCTCATGTGGAAGGAAGTGCCAGGGATGAGGAGGTGAGGAGACATGAAGTTTTATTTTGTTAAGAGAGGAGGAGAGAGAAACTGGACAAGACCAGAGTGGGGTTCAGTCCTCCTGCAGCCCCACGACACACAGATCAGGGGAGGAGAGAGAAACTGGACAAG